TATTATTGGTGCGTTTCTTGGGCATGCTGCCTCATGGTTAAACTGCACAGTTACACTCGGAAGGAATAGCACAGAATTAATTCAAATACAGTAAAAATTGTTTCGCACAATCAGATATAAGGAAGCGAACTTTAGAAGACAGCGATGGCTAACCTACGTGGGGAAGTCATAAAATTTAATTATCACCCAGAATGAAAAGGGACACAGGTGCAAGAAATTGTGAGTTAATCCTTCTCTAAATATGCCCTCTGAAAGGCTATACATTTTCTCCAGCGATGTATTAGCTGCTGGATACTTTGATCATAGAAGGTCTCATTTTGACTGTTTAGGAAGTCCTCCACTTCAGAAATGACGTCATCATTGTCTTGGACTTGCTTACCACGAAGTAGCTTCTTTAGCCGTGGAAAGAGGAGGAAGTCGCTCGGTGCCATATCTGGTGAATATGGCGGATGGGGGAGAATTTCATATCCCAAACTGGCAGCAAGTGTCGTCGTAACATGAGCAGCATGAGTTGGTGCGTTGTCATGAAGAAGTCGCGCACCTTTTCCCAGCATTCATCGTCGCTTTTCCTTGATTTTCTCCCGTAATTTTCTTAGAAGGTTCCGGTAGTACTCGCCAGAGATGGTGACGCCCTTTTGCCCGTAGTCGGTCATGATCCGATCCCAGAACACGCTCAACGTCACCTTTCCTGACGACGGCTCGGATTTGGCCTTCTTTGATGGCAGCAAGTCTGCATGTTTCCACTGCTGCTCATTTCCTCTGTTTCACGGTTATAATGATAGACCCAACATTCATCCATCGTGATCAGGCGGTCGAAAATTTCCACCTTTTCGTCTTGACACAACTGCAAACGTTTCTTTTCCACATCCATCTGTTGCTGGTTTTGAACTGGTGTCAACAATCGTGGCACCCAACACGCAGCGACCTTTGTCATGTGTAACTCGTTATGGATGATGTTGAAAACCGACCCACGGCTAATGCGGACCTCGTGAACAATAGCTTCGATAGTTATGCGCCTATCTGATAGGATCAAAGCTTTCCTCCTCTGCCACAATTCCCAGTTCATCAGCGAAAGATGGTCTTCCACTTCAGGGTTCATTTCGAGGTTTTTCTGTCCACAATGAAAGCGCCTCTTCCACCTGACCACTGTGTCATATTATGGTACACCTTCCTGATACACAGCGGTCATCTGGTCGTGGGACTTCCTGGCAGACTTCCCTTGCAAATGCGGGAACCGTATCACAGCACGAGCCTGCACTTTCTCAAACGACGTCGCCAGTTTGCTTCTGCCCCTTTCGGTGGCTCCCTCTGTCCACATGGCGCGGGAAAATTTTGCTGTTTGGCAAGCTCATGAAATGGGCTATCTCGTATATAGTACAATTTTTGGAATTATGAGTTTCTCATGGTGATAATTAAACATTGTGACTTCCCATCGTATATATAAACATTTTCATTTGAAAGAACCAAGAATTGTTCACTGTTTATCGTTTGTTCTCGGTCATTTAACGATACTTTGTCAACTGCGGTGAACGGAAGGATGGCTATGGATGACATGCAGGGACATAAGAAGTGAAGAGGGGGTATGTTAAGCGGTGTAACTTCGTCGTCTAGCATAACCCTTCATGAAACCGTGATCTAGCCACTCAGGACTTTCTCCATCACTGTGAAAACTGTCGTTATCTTGAAAAATTATGTACGGTGAAGTTTGTGAACCTCGGAAATAAGGTTTCAGCTTGCCAACCTCGAAACCTTAGAAACTTGAATTTCTTTATACGTATACTATGAAATAGAAACAGTCCCGATTGCAGTGGCATGACGTATAAGGCATGTACTGTCTTCGGCCTTTCGGCCACTGGAATCATGGATTTCAGTGACACTCGAGGGATGGTTGTATGTCCTCACTTCCTGTGTTTATGTTGCCTTATAAGTAGAGACATTGTGATGAGCCGATCTCCCGTTCAAGAAGTCCTACATATTACCCATACTTTTATGATCTCAGAAGTTAATTCTGAATTTGAACAGGTCAAATGATCAAATCCTTAAATTCTGAAGTAGATGAAGAAAAAACAGAAACAGCCCAAATATATACTAATTACAAGAAGAGTTCTTGAGGGGCTGGTAGTTGCTTAACTGGTCAAGAAATTTCATTCCTTTTATTGAATTCAAATGTTTATCATTATGTCACCGTCCCGCCTCTGCACCTTATCATGAGGAAGATGAACGTACTCCACACCCTCACACCATTTCTTCGAAGCCCATTTCAACATCCTTCAATCTACACCTAGAGCTCCCAAGTGATCTCAGATTTATGACAGATATCTATATTTATCTCACATATGTTTAATGCCTGTTGCCCTATCTTACGCTCCTTGATTTGACAACCACAATATCTGGCGAACAATAGAAACCATCAAGCTCCTCGTTACACAGTTTTCTTCATCCTCCTGCTACTTCCTTGCTGTCCTTCTCGCGTGGCACGGCAGCCAGATGCAGTCCAAGACCTCCCATTTTCTGGGTTTCGAAATGTTATTTATATACAGTTGGTAAGGCTCCCTTTGACGAGGAATCAGCCTGTCGCAAAGCTTCGACGTACACGAGCGAGCAATGCAAACACAGAGAAGCCGCACACTAACATGTATGCCCCAAGTGGAGTTCGAATCTATGATCGCAGTTTTTGACTGGTAGAGGATGTTCGTTAGACCGCGCAGCTACTGTGATTGGCACTGCCACTCTTTTAGATTCAAACATGATTGCTGGCATAAATGAGTTTAATCAAACAGTGCGATAAAATGTAAAACAAAGAATAGAATATACATATCTATAATTTTGCCTGTGGTTCTGTATGGGTGAGAAACTTGGTCTCTGACATTAAGGAAGGAACATAGACTGAGGGTGTTTGAGAACAGGGTGTTGAGGAGAATATTTGGACCGAAGACAGATGAAGTGACAGGAGGTTGGAAAAAACTTCTTAATGAGGAGCTTCATCACTTGTACCCTTCTCCAAGTATAATTAGAATGATCAAGTCGAGGATGAGGTGGGCAGGGCATATAGCACGAATGGGGGAGACGAGGAGTGCGTATAGGATATTTATGGGAAAGCCAGAAGGAACGAGACCACTGGGAAGACCAAGGCGTAGGTGGGTGAACAATATTAAAATGAATCTTAGAGAGATAGGATGGGATGGTATGGATTGCTTTGATCTGGCTCAGGATAGTGACCAGTGGAGGGCTCTTGTGAAAATGGTAATGAACCTTCGGGTTCCATAAAATGCTGGGAAGTTCTTGAGTGGCTCTTCAGTTGTCAGCTTCTCAGGAATGGCTCAGCTCCACGAGTGACTGAGTGACGCGATAAAATGTACAATTTGATATGCTCGTTATAATGACCATTTCCACCCGCCATGTTTCGGCATTATGAATGGTTGTACACTCCATGTGTAAACTACACAAGAATACAAGACATCCGTTATTTTTGAAAGCAATTTTTTTTTTTAATTTATTGGCTGCTACAAGATGTAAGCAAAATCTTACAAAGACTAGTTCGCTTGAACTAACGATCTGTTTTAATTTGACACTATGTTTCTAAGATTATATGAAGTTCGCCCATCGGATCCCTTAGCTGTCGGGCAGCTTGGCTAGTTCGTAAGGTTTGGTCCGTTTGATTGGCCTGATTAGGTTTCCCACATTTAGGAGCCTGGACGCTTCTTCATTGACGCGTTGTCGAAGTCGGTTTTCGTGTGAGGTGGCGTATCTTGCAGTAATGGATGCGACTGTTTCTACACCGAGGTCTCGATGGAGGTCCCTGTTGCGTACATACCAGGGCGCATCTGCTGTGCGTCTTAGTACTTTGTTCTGGTATCGTTGGATTACTTCGATGTTGCGTTTTTTCGCACATCCCGATAGTTGGACGCCATATGTCCAGACTGGTCGCAGCATTTGTTTATACAGTAGCAGCTTGTTGTACATTGACAGTTCTGATCGACGTCCGATCAGCCAGTACATGTGAAAGCAAATGCCGATAAAATAATTATTTGAGTTTCTTTTCCCCCACTGGCCATGTAATCGTAGTATGGAAGGGGCTTCATTTGTTGTTGTTTGTCTGGTACTTTGTTTCTTCCATTTACTGGCCTGTTAAAGGTTAGTGTTTCTTTTTATGTTGTGAGCTTGAGAATTGGTCAAGTAAGTGTACTGTTCTACTCTGAACATGTAGGGAACAGGTTCCTCCGAAACGTTGGTAACAATTTACCAGGTTACACGGCGTCACATCTCAGAAAAAAAGTAATCTCCGCCACGATAACACGAAATATAATTGGATTTTTGTCTCTGTATCATCCATTATTATGGTAGTGTTTTCTTTTCCCTCGTTTGAACGTGAGGTGCTTTCGGAGCAGCTCTTGTGAAATTAGTCGTCCATTATGTAATTATCAAATTATTCACACGGACACAAATACACGGTTTACATATCCATCTGTGTGTGTGTGTGTATATATATATATATAATCATTTTTCTTATAATTCAAAAGAATAACTTAAAATGAAAGTAGGGAAATATTGTCCCTCTGCTGAAGGTTTTGGGCGGATTTCCGTTTCTGTCGTCCGGTTTTAAAACACTTCCGAAGGATACAGGCAGAAGTCGTTATGATCTGTTCGCATAAACAAATGGTATTCAGTCTACGGACTGATGTTGTAACCTGTTTCAAATTTGCGTCTGTGATTCAGAGTACGTGAAAATTCGCGATATTAGAGTTCAGAAAATTTTTTAGAAAATTGTACGAAATTGCACCGGCGGCTGGAACAGGTAGGCAGACGTATGTGTTTGATTAGGTTTGCGTGTGTTCTTGCGACGTTCTCATTTTCGTATCGTTAACCAAGAAATGTTACGTTACGGCGGTAGGGGCGTGAGTCTGAAGTGGGGCGGGTACGAAGGAGGGGAAAGACGAATAGTCAGCTGTTAACTTTATTACGTTGTCTTGGGTTGGGTTGGGTTGGGTTCGGTGTGGTTGTACAGGACGTTCAGTGGGCCTTGTGCCGCGTTTGTGTTGTAGTTGAAAAGTTGCTCTGACATCGTTGCTTCGTGCTGGTGACTGCACAGACAGATAACAATCTGTGAGTCGCAGCTTGCTCGAAAACTTTTGAATAACTTCAGATAAACTATATAACGAGTACATCATATTATTGAGACGTGTTTATATATCACTCTTTACACACATATATTCGTACGCTTTGCGTATTCACTAGTACGTATTTCATTTAGGGCAGAGAATCTCAGTACACTTCTTTCCCGTCAGCAGGGTACATATTTTCACATTCCTCATACTTTAGTGTGAGCAGTGAACGTAGAGGTAATACATTTTTGGTAAAGGTATGGGAAACATCAAAGGAAGTAAAGCTAGAGGAGGAGCATCCTGGAGATAATTTCGATAAGCGAAACCCATCAGGCAAATCGGAAGTTGACGGAGACGAATGTTGTGAACATGAGTACTGTATGTGCCAGGGACGTAAATGACGGTGTGGAAACATCGGTCGGCGTCAGTGAAGAAACCACTGTCAGAATAGCGAATATGAACCATGTAGAAATAGGCAAGGATGGCGTTACTGCAGGAGGGGAAAAACACATACATCAGACTGGAGTAAGGGATGCAAAGGGAGATACTGGGGAGAACCATTCTAGTAGTTGCGTGGGTGATTATTGTGATCAGATGTCGGTCATATCACCAGCTGCAAAAGTGAAAGGTGTTAAAGAGAACACCAGTAACAGCGATAACAGGAACAGGACTACCAGTGAAACTTGGACCACCGAAAATACAGAAGATGACTGCATTGTCGATTTCCTTGATAAGAGCAATGAAAAGGTATATTTGTCTTTCTCACACCCTTGAACAGGAAAATTTATTACATGATTTGAAGCAGAATATGACTAAAGTGTTAAGTCAACTGGTCTCTTCCCTCCCATGACTGGGAGAGTGACTAGAAGGAAGTATGGGGTAGTGATGACAGTTTATATTCATAATAGGATGTGTTAATGGTGAAGTGATTCCAGCATGTTGTTTATAAAAATAGTAAAAATGGAGCCAAGGGAACATTTCTGTGTCAGGTTGCTGACATTACATTTGTTGGCAGTTGGGAGTGGTTAGGAATTTTAATTTTCAAGAAACTTACTGAAGCTTGAGTGATGATCCTGTTATGTCAGTGGTAAGTTTATTCACTGGGTAATTGTGTCTGGACCTGCAGCTCATTCCAGAAGAATATAAATTTGTCATCCATGGACTGGTCCATTAAAATACATTATCTTGGCTATAGGTTGGAGACAAAATTGCTACTTTATGACATATTAGCTGTGGTTTGTTATCTCCTTACTTTGTCTGTGACCTGGTCAGTAGCTACATAGTGTGTGGGTGTTTCATTTCAATCGTCATTTGGATTTTTGGAGGAGAATTTAAGGTGAGAAAATGCGGTTTAAACATCGCCGTATTCTAGTTCATTGTGAATTTGATGGATAAATATTTTGCTGCACGAAACCTGCTAGGCATTTCATGTAAACACATTTCTGTTAACCAGATAAAGTTCTTAGCAATTCCAGTTATATAAAATGTTATACAGTTTCTGTATCCTTACCAAATTACCCATAAAAAGGTAAAGTTGTCCCTGTGCTTAACTGATTAAGCACTACACCATGAAGATGTTTGGGGGAGAGTATGTATAGATCCACATTTTCTTGACCTCTGCACTAGATGGAGGTGAGTGGTCAGCTTCATGTCTGTGCCACTTCAGCCGCAGGGTACCCATTGGATAGGGTTGGTGGGCCTCGGAGCCGGTCTGGAGGACGTGGAGAAGAGAAAATTGTTGATCCTACTGGGACTCAATCTCTGACCCCTTGGTCAACCAGCCTGTAACCATGGTTTTCACCAGTCTTTCCAGGAAAATACAAGGATGGTTTCCACCACATGCCATCATCACATTGTTACAAAAATTTCCTGCCATAGTTTGAAAATACTTGGCAGAAGTGAAATTATTTGTAAAAAATGAAGATCGCAATGATGGTGAATTGAGAAACCTTACTTGTGTGTCACTCTTTTATCTTTTCCACTTTAAATGGAATGTTGAAGTTAATCTCTTTATCAAGTTACTTACAACTTATCAGGCTTTATGTGCATGTTTTCTTTAGGTTTAAAGTGTGTGCTTAGAAGGGTATTTAAATGAATGGATGTGTGAGGTGAGGTATTCTCTGTCATGTATAAATGAAACGTTAGTTTTGAAGGTGACAGTAACTTTTGGACTCTACACAACAATATTCTGTATCTAAAACAAAGTAGACACTACTGTATCATCATTTGTTTTTATTGATTCAACATGTTTCAACCATTATACTGGGTCATCATCAGGCATACAATGGTATCAAACTCATTTGTTGGATTGCATCTAACAATTTGCATCTAATTCTTCAATAAGGAACCTTATTGTGTACTTGAGTGTTTTTAAGTGCATAAATTGAGTCTTTCAGTTAAAATTTTAAATAATCAGGTGATAAAATTTAAAAATTAGAGACTAAAGATTAAATCATTGAAATTAAAATTGTACTGAAATGGAAATGAAGTATTTTGCGATAAATCTCTTTAAAAATTTGTGACTGCTATGTTTTGACGTGATTTTCTGCTGGTAGAAGCCTGATGATGACCCAGTGTAAGGGTCGAAACATGTAGCAGCAATAAAAACAAATGGTACGATAGTGTCTACTTTGTTTTAAATACAGAATATTACTGTGTAGACTGCATACTTTTTTATACATTTTATATACTTTGTTTATGACACACAACGGGATGCATACTATTAAGACAATAACTTTTCGCTTGTGAATTATACAGGGTGTAACTGAAAGTTGTGAACAAGCTTTTGGCATGAATTCATATACCAAAACAAGAAAAATTGTCTGTATCAACATGTGTCTAGAAACATTAAATTTGTATTCCATCTGAAAGAGTACATTTATAATAAGTGCTCAAAATGTTGTCCATGAGATTCAATGCACATCTAGACATGTCTCATCAATGACCACATTCATTCAGAGATACTGGGGTAGTTGAGGATAGTCTGACAGGAATCCACAATGAAATGGTGAAGTGCTTCTTCTTTTTCAGCAGGAGCTGCATACACAAGGGTGTTAGGTGTCCCCACAGGTGAAAATCCAAAGGTTTCAAAGCTGGCAAGTGTGGAGGCAGTGCAGTGGGTCCTCCTCTACCTATCGCTTTATCATAGGTGTTACAGAGACATATCACACACCATGACTAAAATATGCCATAGCACCATGATGCACGTACCACATTGTTCATGCTTTGACTGCCAGCAGTACTTCTTTCAGTAGCTTTGGCAGGTCATGTAAGAGGAAATCTTGGTAGTGGTTGCCTGTAAGCCAGTATGGCAAAACGTATGGGCCTACCACTCACCAGCAATCCTTGCCCACACATTAATGCTGAAGTGTTGCTGGTATCTGGAATGGATTACACCATGAAGATTCTTCTCTGCCCTCTGGTGTTGGTTGTGAATATTGATGATGCTGTCCCTACCAAAACATGCCTCATCTGTAAAAAGCACTGTTGAAACAAAGGAGTGCTCAGCATTTTGTTGAACAAAACATGGACATTTTGAATTCTTGTTGTAAATGTACTCTTTCAGCTTTAACTCTGGGCGCTGTTGATATGGACATTTTTTCTTGCTTTGATATGTGGAACTTGTGCCCAGAGTTTGTCAGCACCTTTCAGTTACACTCTGTGTAAGAGAAATATCAATATTGAAGTTTTATTTTTGTTTGGTTTCATGTCTCAAACAATGGGAAATGTGGTATTTGAATAAGTAACTATATAATGCAACCAAGCAATATTAGCCTGCCTATGTTTCCATATTCAGAATTATAACTTTTTATTGGAAGTAAGAGTTTTATCTTTTACGAAGTAGTTTCTAATATGTCTGTGACTCTACTTTATCTTTAAATTATTTCCTTCGTATTGCACAATGTTTGTTTGTAGTTGTATTCACATTTACTTGTCTACGGACTATTTTGTCAGGCAGAAAAATGCAGATGATATCAATATAGACGGAATTTCACAGTGAATGTTTTTCTATGGAGTAATGTAATGTATGTAAGGGGTGGGCCATAAAAACCAGCCCACGCACTGCGACCTTGAATGATCTATTGTGCTTCCCCTTGGATTAGCCCTTTATTAATCCTACACTTTTGATAAAGTTCTATGTAGTACCATTGCAAGTAATATTCATGAATTTTCTAATTTAGGCACAATTTTCAAGGCATGCAATGCCAACCCAGACATAATTGATAAGCTTTTGAATAAATTATGTATTAACCCTTTTAAAAAGAGAAAGGAAACGGTTCCAGTTATTTTGTACCTTATTCTGGTTTGGATTTTTTTTTTGTTTGCCCAGATAATGGATGTATTACCATGGACTAAGCAGTTTATGTGTCACATGTTGAGTAAACAGGTTACTTCCTAGATAACAAAAACTGGAAATTCAAATGAATATGCGTTCATAAAATTTCAGGGTTACCACAAGTGTGACTGGAACCTGCCATTGAAGGCACTTAACGCAAGTCAAATTCAATGGTCATCTGTATAGTAAAGTATTGCAGTTAATAAAGGCTTGGAATATATCTGTTGTCTTCTCTTGCAGTTTCCAAGAGCTCTGCATGTGCTAGAGAGAGAGGGGGAGAGGAAGAGAGATTATATGTATATACAATTTATATTAAAAGAGATCCAGTGAACTCATGCCCTCCAAATTTAACTATATTTTGTTTTGGACCAACCCTTTTATGTGGTTGCAGATTACTGGGTTCTATTATGCAAGAGTGAAGGAAACTGCAGAATGTAGCGGATGAAATATTTCCATCCACTACGAACGTTAGAAGTGCAGACCTCTTCCACCATGCCCTCTTTATATACTTTCAGGACATCGTGTTTAGACACAGATATGCCTTTATTATTTGTGCAACTGTGTTTTGTATGTTGGTGTCATTGTGGTCATGATATGTTGCAGGCAGAGGCTCGGCTAGCAGCCAGAAGGCAAGCAAGAGCTGAGGCTAGGGAAATCCGCATGCGAGAACTAGAGAGGCAACAGAAAGAAATTGAAGAGAATGTTGACAGCGTGTATGATATGTACAGAGGTGAGGAGACAGTTCTAAATTTTTTCAGTGAAAGAAACTGTCTGAGCTCACAGTGCATATGTTCTTTAAAATGGACATCTTGTGAGTCTAGGAAGAGTTAGAAATCAGTAATTATACAGAGTACCATATCTTCACATTATGTCCAATAGATATAGACCACTGTAGGTCATGGTGCGAGGGCCGAGGAGGCCTACCCGTCATACATTCATGCATTCATTCATTCACAATTCTTGTTAAGTATGTACTCGGGAGAATCACACTCTTTGTAATTGTTAACATATTGTGACATGATGTCTCAAAGCTGGAATAATGGCACAAAAGAGTCAGGTGTTGCTCTGCAGTGGCACAGTAAACACATTTCCACAGCAACAAATTAGCACACAACCTAGGAACTATGGAAGTGGTGTTTTCTGTGTGGTCTGTGATGAGGTTGTATCGTGAGGACCAGTGGGAGATGTTAATGAGAAGTTGGAGGGTGGAGTCAGTGGCCAGGAGTCGAGTTGCATTGTTAGATGCCGCTACAAAGCAATAACTAGTGAAGACTCTTTTTAACTACAGACAACTTTCTACTGTAGATGGAAAATCTATTTTGCTGTAACTTGTAGGTCATGTACGAGTATATGTTCAGTTATGTCTGAAAGAATCAGATTCCTGGGTTCATCAAAAAATCATTCAGTCTTGGAAAATGATCTCTGTATTTTTTTTAGTGAATTTCATGTGAAACTTTGTTTTGCATAAGAAGGATTTTTTTCTTTCTTTCTTTCTTTCAAAAGGTATTGATGGTACGAGACGTGTAGGTATGATAATACCACAAGCCTTACTGCCAATGTAAAGTAAAGAATATGGGCTAAACATGAAGTAAATGAAACAGTGAATAGTTTCATGGCAACTGATGGAAACTTTTTATTTTAGTCTTCTCTCTCCCTGAGAATATTTGCAAATCTTGTTGTTTGTATGAGGGTGTGCTTTGTTTGACAGTCATTCAACATGAATTTTCTGAATTAAACAATTAAGCAGAAGCCAGATGGTTATTATGAAGGGAAGTTTAGCAGAACAGAAGCTTATGACCAGAACGTTTTTTACTGGCATGTGTATCAGTGTGATGAGCAATTTCAGGTATGCAAGTATGTGCTGCTTGAGGTTTTTAAAAAGATATGTTAGTACAACTTTTACAAGGTGATGTATTGGTTAGAAAGTTGAGTTCCATGTGTTAGATGTTAAATGATATACTCTTTTAAGAACTGAGTTGGCAGTAAAACTACAGAAGATGACATTTAAATTTTATTAATAAGGAAAATATTTTCCCATGTTTAATCATCAATTCCAACTAAACTGGTTCTCTTTGCTTTTAATATTGTTGCAGATCCAACATGTCGCTCTGCAAGAGTTGCTGCCACTGTCAGCAGCACAAGGAACACATCGCTGGGTGGAACCAATAGCTATCAGTCAAGTCGTCGCAGTTCAGAGGATTCACTTGAGGAGGGCATTAGTCTCAGAGATGTGCGGGTCAGTGGTATATTTTGTAGGGAATGTGTGTGCAAAATGATACAGTTCAGGGGGTGATGTAATTATGCCATTTGTCAGTGGTGTTCATTGAAGGCTACAACTTAATCTGCACATTTTTATTTCTTGTGCACAGCATGCTCCACAATCATTTCTGCACACAGATCACTTAGTGGAGTGCAAGAATCTTGTGGGTTATCTCTGATACTTCTACTACAAAAGAAAATTAAGTGAAAAATGTGTTGCTTTTAGAAAAATATGAATTAAAAATCAGAATTCTAGAATTTTTTTTTTTTAATTTATAGGAAGCCTAATTGAATTAATGTTGTATGTGTTTTGCAACAGATTGGTGATGCATTTAAATAATAAATGATTTCCTTGGCTGCTACTAGTTATATGCTGTAATAAACTCAATTTTATTTGAAGAGTTTTATTTTAAAATATTTTTACTGCAGCAAGAGCTGAAGGAGGTGGAAGAGAAATTCCGAAAGGCGATGATACAGACTGCTCAACTTGACAACGAGAAGTCATCACTCACTTACCAGGTGGAGCTCCTGAAAGATCGGCTGGAGGATTTGGAGGAAGCCCATTCACAACTACAAGTGTGTAGTGTTTCATTAATTTCATTTACTCAGTATGTCACTGTTTGGAGAACAGTTCAGAATATTCTATTGTGTATGTTGTCACAGGTAGGGTGGTACGTGTGACAAAGTGACGGGTTCTAGTTTGATTGATTGGTTTTATTAGCAGCTTGGTTACGCACTTTCTTTTAATCACACTTAAACTACAGTGCTATCGCTGATTTGCACACACCTCATAATTCAGTGTAGCACGAACACTCTAGTCCTCTCTGGGTAATGTATCTCAACATAGAAATTAGTGCTTCAAATCACTGCAAATATTGCACATAATTAAGGTCTTGAAATCACACCTAAAATCTTCACAGGTCTTCTACAAACTTGTTGTTGCTGTCACTGATACTGTTACCTAAGCACATGCAAGCACTCTAAAATACTGAAACACAATAAACTGAATTGCTGGCATTATTCTTGTTATATAGACTCCACATCGACCATGCATAGAAAACAGCCTATATTGTTGGAATGTGTTTACCGAGCAATTGAATAGCAGCGGTCACGGTGCCGACCGCATAGAAAACGCCACACTCCAATGTTGCCCTGCTTGCATTTGGTTGTGAGGTGTTACGGTCAGTTACCTAGCAGTGCTCTGTCCGTCCACATTACATTATGAATAAGTCATTTTAATTTTAGGAAACTTGTGTGCTTTGTGAAGAATTTTCCTAGTTCTCTAATACAGTTAATTATACATTTGATAGACAGATTTTTAGATTCACTTATTTAGGAAGATTGTAACAAACTAAAACACATTCACAAAGAAGTTATTAACAATGTTAATATATGTATTTTATTTTGCAGCGAGAGCACAGAGAGAAATGTAGGGAGCATGACCAACTGAAGCGGGCAACAGTGAAGCTGAAAGAGGATCTTGAGATGTACAAAGCTCAGCTGGAAGAGAGAGATCGTCTCATTCAGGTCTGTCACAGTTATCTGGAAGTGGAACAGATTTGTTTCACATACACTGAGAAGACGGAGCAGCATCTCTTATGTTCACTCCTTATATCAGTTTTGGTGTCACACTGGAATAAACAGTTGTTCATTTGTAGGATCAAAACACACACACTCCGTGGTTTTAGTCCACAAGTGAACTATACAGATCACATATAAATAATTATCCCTCATTTTGCATCTACCTGATACAGAAATAATTTTGTCATCCATAATCCAGTCATGTAAATTCCCTAACCATTTTACTTATGTTTAGTAGTATCATCAAGAGAAATACCTGCTCAGCTAAGTGAATAGGACTGGAAAGAGTGCAGACTATATTGTCTGCATTTATAAATGAACTTAATAAATTATTCTTTCCACTTGTTGTAAATTTATGAGTTCTCCAAATCCAGTGTAATTCTGTCTACTTGATATACCAGAATGAAATCAGTACCTGGACATATGTTAAATTTCAATTTTTTGACAGCAGTTCCAATTTTATTGAAACTTTTCAACTAATATGGCCTCCTTCAAACTATTGAATGAAATCTTATTAGCCATGAATAATAAATTAACTGTCGGTGGTATATTTTGTGACCTAGAGAAAGCGTTCGACTATGTCAACCATGATATACTTTTAAAGAAATTGGAATACTGCGGGATAGTAGGAACATTTAAAGCATTAAGTACATTATACCTAAACAATAGATATCAGAAAGTGGTATTAGATAACAGGAAAACTCATAATAGTACCTCCTCCGAGTGGGAGATCATAAAACATGGTGTTCCACAAGGCTTTATCCTTGGTCCATTATTTTTCCTATTGTATGTAAATGAGCTTCCTAACGTAATAACTAACAATGCAAAAATCATCATATATGCTGACGACACAAGCGTCATAATGTCTAATCGTAGCCTTCTGAAATTTGAAACTAATATGAATAAACAATTTGTAGCCATAAATGAATGGTTTAAAGCCAATTTGTTATCTTTAAATTAAAAAAAACTCATTACCTTTTATTCAGGACAATAAATAGTTTAGAAACCAATATCAGTATATGCTGTGGAAACAAGCATATTACTAACACGTCAAATATTAAGTTTCTTGGTTTACACATTGACGAAACATTATCATGGAAACTTGATATTGACCAATTAGTAACTAAAATGAGTTTGGCTTGTTATGCTATTAGGATAGCAAAAGGTTTTATGTCACAAGAAACCCTCAAGATGATTTATTTCTCCTATATCTGTTCAAATCAAATCATGAGATTCATAGCTTCGGTACTAGACATTGCACAAACTTACACCTTCCTACATCACGTTTGACAGTTTTCCAAAAAGGACCCTGCTACTCTGGTATCAGAGCTTATAATCATCTTCCACCTCATATTAAAAGTCTGAGTAATGAAATGAAACTTCAAACCGAAGTTAAAAAGGTTTCTTCTTTCCAATTCATTTTATTCCTTGGATGAATATTTTAACAGTAAAGTAAACTAAACACCTGGGTTATACTCCCTACTAACTATCTTTTTTATGATACTTATAATCTGCTCATATATATATTCGTCACATCTTAGTACTATCAGTACATTAGTTTTAACTTTTTAAACATGTAGCTGTCATACGATGTATACAAGTTGTTCCATCTGTGTCATGGGTATTAAGTGTGCAGGCATCTATGACCTGTTTGTTGTCTGGGTATTGTTTGTAAGTAATAATTGATGTAATGTCCTAATAAATAATCTGCTTTTAGATATTAGACCAATGTTTGAGATACTGTGTTGTGGAGAAGAATTATTGATGTATTTATATTCATATCTTGTTAATGTGATATGACTTATCTGGTTTTGTCTGTGACTAATTCCACATCTACTGGTCATTATTGTACCACAAAGGACCAATGGAATGTTTAAATGAATTGAACTTGGCCCTGGACCTAATGGTGTGTCAGTTGGTATTCAACTGCTTGAATGTTTACTAGCTTACTAAGGTTACTTTGCCATTGATCTGTGATATTGTCAGATGGAAATGTATAAGCACATCATTTTTTTTTTGTCAGATGAATGTGACATTGATATTCCCTCCTGACTTCGTTTGTCATGGTTCCTGTTATAATTTATGCAATTTCTTAACCAAAAATTTGTGCCTGAAAGTTGTGGTGTGTAAAATGTGAGAATAGTACTTCTCAGATGTTTTACATGCTAAACTGAGCTTAGGAAATTATGGTTTCATAATATTGAGAAGAAGAAGAGTGTAGGAGAGGAGGCATGATTCCCATTTTTTCTATGAAATTTATAACTACCGTATTTTTAAAAGCAACCCTATAACTCATACTTCCCATATTTGACACACTTTTGATAACTCCTGATTGTTTCTAATTTAACCAAATATGGTAAAACTGACCACAATAAAGTGCTCAACATTAACATTTTTGGTGGGGAATATTACTTCAAATATGAGACTGCTTTTATGACAGACAGTAATCTGGTTACATATTGACAGACCCTATAGTCAGACTGATGAAATATCGCCCAATAATATGTGGAGAAATTTCCCTACTCACTAATGGAATATTTTGGAAGGTTTCACCCTGGCATTTCTTAAGATTTAATTGTCTACAGTAATGTGAAACTGTGACTGGACCCACAGTATCTGCAGTCCCAGTTGTGTAAGGTGGAATGAGAGTCTGTAATTGATGTTTTCTCTGATAGGAGCAAGGCCTGATGATAGTAGGAGATGATCAAGTGTCCAGTGAAGAGGAGGGCAACAGTGTAGAGGATAGTAGTAGTAACATACCAAAACGGACGCCAAGGAGAGCTCTTGTCTCAGTTGAGTCTGCAGAACTTCTACAAACTGCTGGAGGAGGCTCATTAGGTAAACGATACATTAGGATGATAAATCATGAAGTTACTATTACTGAACGTAGAAATGTCTGAAAACGGGATAAATTAATATGGTTATGTCTTTGGTTAAGTTAGGAGTTGGCCTTTGGACCTCCAGAAATGCAATGGATTGTCATGCTACCTTATCTGTATTTTCACAGATGTTAGACTGCGGAAGTTTGCTGAAGAAAAAAGTGAGCTTTTAGACCAAGTACGGCACCTAAAATTAGAACTGGAGGAAGAGAGAAGCAGACACAAGTCAGACAGACAACGAGGGTCTAGCAGTGTTAGTCTCAATGGGCCAGACACAGAGCTGGTGGATATTCAGAGTGAGTTGAAAGCTGCTTCATTATGACATTTATTTATTTCCTTTACTATTTTAGCCTTAAGTCATTAGAAGGCAGTTTTTGTGGCGTGATTTACTGAGCAGTGCAAGCACTGCAATGAAATGGAAACACTTTCGTCTTCTTACCATTTTTTCTCCCTGTCCTCTTCTTCTGTCCATCTTTTCCAGCTTATCCTCACCCTTTTCCTCCATGCTCTTTGTTTACTTTTTCTGCTTCTTTTTCTATTCCTTCTCCTCCTTTTGCATCAGTCTTTATCTTATTCTTCATATTCATCTTCTCTTTGTGTCCCCTTTTCCTTCAGTGTCCTCTCCCACCGAATTTTGCATTCATTGTATAAAAGAGTTAGTACTATAGTCACAAGGTAAGTGGAGTTGTAACTCAAGGGGTTAGTGGAAGAGGAGTGGTGACTGCCATGAGGCTGTGTGCATGTACCACTGTGTTCTCCTGTCTGAAAGTAAAACACACTACCTACAGTTTTTCTTCTAGCAGTTTTGAGTAAAGGAGTTTTAGATCAATGTTCTCTGTTAGGTGGATTCCTGCCTTGCTGTATAAAGATGCTTTCTGTAGTTAAAGGCATGGAGTACAGAGCTCAAGAAAGTTCACATGGACAGTACTTCTGTAGTGCTGAACATTCATATGCACTTTTACAGAGTTCTTTATGAAGAAATTGTCGTTCATTTCTTGGAAGTTAGCGTATTACCTGAAAATGGCATAGAATATTTCCTCATAATATCCAGACTTGTAGCATATCTTTATTTAGACCTTGAAACAAAGTGATGCTTCCAGCTGTACCATCATAATAGAATCATATATTCTTGCTACTCTGTCCCTTTCTAGCCCTGAACATGCATATGTTTGGGTCAGAACATTATTTCCCTTCACAAGAAAAAAAGTATTTGAGTCCTGCACTACATGAATGCCTGGGTTTTGGTCCTCACTAGCAATTTCTGCTGTTACTTTATACCAGTATATGGGAAGACTATAAAGTAGGCATGTGCGAGTCTTGAATATTAATGACTGAATTGAGAAAAACATTTCTCGATCGTAATTTGAATATTAATTTTTCAGTCTCTAACTTCAAGAATTTTCTGATAACTCTTTTTGCTCTGCTGGTTGGGTTTATGTCCGAATTGATTTGAGTCATATTTCCTCAGATGGAAAAGACTTCTCCCCCACTTTTAAAGAGCCATAAAGAGTTATCATGATTTTGAATGCTGTATGTACGCATGCGCACATGCACAACAATGTAAATTTTTGGACTTTTAAGGGTATTTTTTGTAATTTTAGCCATTTTAGGGAATTTTTCTTCATATGTTTTCAGAAATGTGAATAATATGCAAGTAAAGTTTTCTTTCTCTTTCTCCTGCCTCTACAAAGGCAGCCTGTAGCCACACCCCAAATACCTGCTATCACAGTATGCAATAATAAGTTGTAATAATGTCCCATCCTTTCTGTTCATTTTGCGGAAAGTGCTGACAATACATATTGTGGCGTATTGTCCGTGCTCTTTTCTGTGTGGTCTGCGAGATGCCTATGTAAGGGGCTTCAGTGCACCAGACGAGACAGTTGTTGAGTTATACTGAGTGAATAGAATCAAGACAGTTGAAGTCTGGAAGTGACTACAGTAGGAGAAGTAATTGGGATACTGAAGTGAGTTATGTAAGTGTGGATAAAAGTGTGCAATAAATTTGCTATATTCAAGACCAGTGTGAAGTTATTTGTTACATCACATAAAGCAACACGTGACAGTATCATAAAACATTTTAAGCTGGCAGCAGGGTACAACAGTGGTCACTCACACTGCGGCCCTTTCCAAGTTTTGTGCAAAGGAATTTGCTTAGTTACAACTATTTCTAGTCAGAGTCCCTCGCTTTTTATGACATATTGTTGCTCAATAAAACTCCGTCTGTCTTCAGTTTCTCGCCCTTGACCATACAGACAAAGATACAATTGATCGAAGGTTCTCAGTGCGAAAAGTTCAGTTCTCTGTTGCACTGGAGTGATTCATTTTATCACGATGCCTAAAGCAAAGCAATCTAAATCATGTCATTTAAAGCAGATTGTAGCTGAATTTGGAGATGATATACTTGTATTTTCAACTGATGGTAAAATTTGACACTGTATGATGTGTGACACAAGATGTGGCCCCATATATTTTAAAAGCAGGCAAGTCAATAAAGTTGTTTAATGTTACTTGGCTAGCACATGCACTTCGTAGAGTGATGGAGGAATTGAGATCAAGATTTCCTCAAGTGAATGCTCTAGTGTCGTAGATGAAGATTTTTGTCAAGGCTCCAGCTCGTAAATTACAATTTAAATCTATGGCTCCTGGTGTTCCACTTCCCCCAGAACCCATCATCACAAGGTGGGGAATGTGGATTGATGCTACAATTTACTATTGCTGTCGTTTTCAGGCAGTGAGAAACATTGTATGTTCAATGAAGACAGAATATGCAAGGTTAATTGAAGCTGCTCAGGAACAGTTGTCATGCAGCAAAATGCAGGGACAGCTGCCTTCATAAAGGCAGATTAGTTCCTCGAAAGGAATCAAATGCTTACAGGAGAAAGGAGCAATGCTAGAAGATTTGCTCGCTCTTGTGAAAAGAATAACCAGTGATTTGGAGAAAGTGTCAGGGGACATTGGTAAAATGGTGTCAAGAAAAATGAAAAATGCTCTAGATAAAAACTCAGGTTATGAAACATTATGCAGCATTTCTCAAATTCTGGCAGGAGAGTAAATATTGAAGAATTTACTGCTAGAGATTGGTACACTTCAAGTATGATCTCATTATGTCTGCAGATGTGGAAAGTAGTTTCTCCAAGTACAAGAATGTGCTGTCAGACAATAGGCGTTCACTCACCTTCGAGAATCTCCGCATGTTGACTGTCATCTATTGCAACTCTGAATGAGGTTACACTTAAATATTGGAATATATACCGTCTATGTACATTTGATAAGCATTCCAGCATAATAGATACAATCATATTAAAACATTCAGCTTCAAATTCAATCATATATTGCTTAATTTTCAACATAAAAATGAGGACGAACTTAAAAGGGTAATGAAGAGTTCACAGTGTTAATAAAGATTAAAAATACATTTTCAAATAATTAGTAGATTTTCCATGACATGATAGATTTTAGGTTGTTTTTTATCTCTTAGTTCGTTTTTTTGGATGTTTTTGAGGTCATTTTTAAAATTTTTAGGTCGTCAAAATTCGGACCCTGGTGATAAGTATATGAAATTCATAAAATTACTCTCTCTATGCAGACATGTTTCCATATGTGGGATCATCTTATATTTGTAACCACCTTCCATTCAGGTAAATACAGTGAAAAAGTGCCTAATGTTATTACCAGGGCCCGGATTTTGATAACATGTCATCTTTTTTTCCTTGTATCCTGTGCAATGCTCTTAAATATATAAATCTCGGATGTGAGCTGCTGGTTACAGAAATGTAAATTTTATAGGTAATTTTTTGACATTTTTAGGTTTAAGGTCATTTTTTCATATTTGGGGGTAATTTTTTGGACTTTTAAGGATATTTCTTGTCATTTTTTGCCATTTTAGGGAATTTTTCTTCATATGTTTTCTGAAATGTGAATAACTTGGAAGCGAAGTGTTCTTTCTTTTCTCCTGTAGGTCATTTTTCTGGATTTCTTTGGTCATTTTATAGGTCATTTTTTGAATATTTTCAGGTCGTCAAAATCTGGGCCCTGCATATTACATTTTTGGGTCATATTTTAGGTAATTTTTCTGGACTTTTTCGGTCATTTTATAGGTCATTTTTTAAATATTTTCAGGTCATCAAAATCCGGGCCCTGGTTATTACAATGGAAAAACTGGTCCACTAGAAAGAATACTCATTCTCATCTCATTTCTTGAAATTTTTCAAACTTTGGTTCGATATTGTCACGTGTTGAGTGTATAACGCGACAAATAATTTCACACCGTATTTGATATAGCGAATTTTATTTCACATTCGCTCTTACAGTCACACAATTTACAGATCCACAATTACTGCTATCTGCAGTATTACAAATACTAGACCGCGTACTCTTCACTGGCCAACTCGTAACTGCTGACTGGAGAGCTGTCTTCGGCGATTGATGCCCTTAACTAACTTCAACTGCACTTGGCGACGGCCACATTTCAGCTCTCTTCGTAGGTAGTGTGGTTCACTTATATAGTCGCAGCATCCGCCTGTTACGCAATCGGTACTGCTGTTGGCTGTTAACCGTGTCACAGCTGCGTTGCGTGTTAGTCACCCTGCGGAGGGGGGGGGGGACGGAGCGCTGACTCATCCGCCACGTCACTGCTGGGTAGGGAGGGGTTGTCCTCCATTGCGCAACATGTCACAATATGTTGAACTGAAATAGTCAATTGTACTGCTAACTACTACAACGAAAAGGAGGTGTGCTTCATGTCCATGTTTTTATTGTTGAGGAAACTGTCACACCCATCCAAATTTGTCAGTTCATGAATGTTTTGGTCTGAAATGGCTCTACAGTAAGCAGCTGTGTACTAAATTAAATGTAGTGTGAAGTACATAGTGGTTTCATCATAATGCAAGTGACAGGAATATATAAACTTATGTGAATGGTTCGGGGATTGGGAACTTGCTTGATGACGGGGACTCTTGTGGCCTGGTGAGCCTTCATTAGATTTGTTACTGTATCCTGTGGCTTTTCTTTTTGGGATATGTTCATAAAATTTTAACCATGCTGCACATTTTATCAAAATATATCTTTTTTTATGAAAACTACTATGTTATTACTAATCAGCAGTGTTCACATTAAGTTAATTTATTGTGATAATGCAATTTATTTTAACAGGAGAAGCAAACAAGCAGCTAGGGGACTATAAGTTCAAACTTCAGAAAGCAGAGCAAGATGTGTCAACATTGCAGGCCAATGTAAGTGCATTTTAAGTAGAAGTGAAGAAGTTTATAATATGAATGTAATAATTAGAAGTACCACATATGTAAATAATTTCCTGGTATTTATATCCATTAGCAGCAGTTAGACCTTTCTCGCAATGGTAGGTAGTGCTAGATAGGAAGAGCCAGACAAGATGCATGTAAACATCTAGAATATTTAGCACTCCCACTTCATAAACAGGTCTCATATCACAGCATAGAAAATGGTTATCCTGACTCAGGCTTGCATGGTGTTTTGTCAGTCCTTCTGGGTAAATGTCAGAATAGTACTTAAAATTAGACCACAGCCATTTCCTTCTGTCAACTGACTCTTGGTGTAGAGCCTGTATTGAATAATTTGCTAAAACATTTCCATGTGTTTGCTGACAAGGTTCATTATCATGTTCACAAAAGTCCAGTATTGGATGCAAACCCTGATCCACATTATATATTTATAGCCTGTTTCTCCAAGATCGAGCAGTGCAGTCAAGTGGTTGTCATTCCTGCTTTTGGAATTAAGAGGTCCCAGGCTCAAATCTACACCTAGAGATAGGCTGTCCTGACTAATGTTTCTCATTGGTTATTGTGCTTACTGCTCGCATGGCTTACTCTTCAGTCCTGAAGATGGAAGTAGTATGTTACTCTGAAAGATTGGCAGGCTACCAGACTACATGGCATTACATCCCAGAAGATGGTACTGTTCGTAGGTACTGTCATTAGATCTTTACACTATTGCAGCAGCAGAAGCGATTACAATCATAACAGTACTTAAAAGTTATAAAAGATCGCTAGAAGAAACAGTATGAATAGAGTAATTCTTTAATAGTTTAAATGTTAACCTAATTTTTTGAGCTTTTCAGAAGAACATTGACTGATTAAGACAAGGCTTTTAACTGACTGAATGACTGAAACTTTGTTAAGAACTGGAACGAAGGGTTCCTGAAGGCAACATAAAGCACCTATGAGGGTGGTTGATGTCTTTTTATGCACACACGCACACACAAAGAATATACATGCCAGAATCACCAAACACTCCCTTCTTTTCAAGATACAGTAGAACTTGGTTATAACGTCATCAAAGGGACCTAAAAATAGTGTCGTTATAAACGAATGTCGTTGTAACCGAAATGGGCACTTCCACAATAGCCTTATGTTAGTCACGTAAAAATCTACCAAAAACCGAGTTAAAATGTTGCATTTTTTAGTGAAATACGTAGTTAAGTACAGACTAACGTAACATTAACGTGGAATTGCCCAAATGTATAATATCAAAGGCATATTACAGCGCTTTTCACTGACAATACACACCGCACTAATACTGTATATTAAAGGTAGGCCTACTCACCAAATTACAGTAGATTACATCAATTGTTGTGCCTTACTGTACCTAGATACGAGTACAGTAATCAGTTATCTTCATCTGTTTCCTGTTACTTGCCCAATACACACTTTCTAAATTACGTTCAATGTCCATATCAGAGAAATTCAGGAATGAAAATGACGTTACATATGAGGTTGATGCATTTGTGCATGTCGTACTAAGCAAGGTATAAAAACAGTTGCTTTATGAGGAATTAGTTCGTACCATTGAATATTTGACGCAATAGACAAGATGTCGCAGAAACCGATGTTGCTATAACCAAGTTTTACTGTATTGTCACGTGTTGCGTGTATAACGCGACAAATAATTTCACGTCGTATTGATATAGCGAATTTTATTTCACATTCGCTCTTACAATCACACAGTTTACAAGCTCAACATTACTGCCATTGGCAGTATCACAAATACTGCACAGCAATTAACTGCCAACTGACTCGTAACTCAATAATTCAGGAACTGAGAACTAAAACTCATAACTTGAGAGCTGCTGCCTTGAGAACTTGAGAACTAACTGCTACCTAACTCGGAACTGAGAACTGACAACTCTCTTCAGCCGCTGATACACTTTAACTGTCTCTGGGGACGGCTACACGTTAACTGGCTTCGTAGGCAGTGTGGTTCACTTATATAGTCGCAGTGCCCGCCTGTTACGCAATCGGTACCCCTGTTGGCTGTTACCCATGTCACAGCTGTGTTGCGTGTTACATCACCGTGGAGGGGGGGATGGAGCGCTGACTCACCCGCCACGTCACTGCTGGGTAGGGAGGGGTTGTCCTCCATTGCGCAACATGTCACAATATTTTACTTTTACACTGTATATTCTATCCATCCTCCTGCCAAATTAACTTTTGCCAGCAGTGTAAGAGGTTTGATCCTGAATGTGCAGCCAGTTCAGTTTGAAATTTTTGTCCTAGGTGGACCTTCATTGATCAAAACAAATGAAAGGCACTAGATGCTATGTCAGGTCTTTAACCCTTCAATGCCGGCGGGCATTTAAATTCCTACTCAACTCCTCTGCCAGAGGATATTTACATATTTAAATCAGAGAGTGCAACATTTCACTTAAAGTGTAATAAATTGAGAAAAACTGAAGTTATGTTTTTCTAATTTTCACACTATGTTCAGAAATATATATAGAATTGGTGTATTGATCCACACTCCTTTAAAATTATTTTTTGCCACAGTAAGCCTATAAAATTATGACTGATCGTATCATAATACCTTAGAAGTTCAGCTGGGTGTATTAGTCGTGAAAACATTCCACACAGGGTCCTACGTCACATGTGTCACACCAGTACACAATTTTTGACACATAACATGCCATTACTGTGGTTTTGACTTCTTCACAGTTGGTGGAATCTTGCTTATAAAATTTGTTTCTCTTAGACGGGGCACTGTTTTGTTGGACAAATGTTGACCTGGCACTTTGTGTTCTACAGCACTAGCATATTTCACAGAGAGTCCCTCAGTTAACTGAATTCTGATTGACAATTGAGCTATTCTTTTCCTTGTGTTATTCCTACATATTATCATCACATTCAGAAATTTTCTATTTGTCCCTTACAGTTTTGCATATTCTCCCAGTGGATGTTTGTGCTCTTCACAATTCTGTCATTTACCATATCGAGGAAAGTAAAATCGTCCATTTTCAGTGTATATCTCTGAATCTGATAAAACTGTGTTCTGATTCAGTTTGAAATATATATATTTTTCACTGGTCGTGACACAACACAGATGGCTACTTTGCTCCTTGCGGCTGGCCTTGACTAACCAGACTGCATGATGCATATTTATAGAACAAAAGGGGATTACAGTGGTACCTTTCCTATAGTGAACTGTTTACCATTTGCTACAGTAGCAATCATAACACACTTCTTAGAATCAACATCACGTCTCAAAGTTGTAGATTCTCCACGAGAAGAGTGTCTTCTCGTAGTTACAAATACCAATGTGGAAGCAGTACAACTCAGAATATGCCTCAAGAGAACTGACTTTTCATTTGATCAGGATAGAGGATAGTACACAGTATCAATCTAACATATTTAGTTTATTAGAATTCCCCTAGGTAGAGGTAGGTTTGTATGGTAACAAGCACCCCAAGTGTTGAAATAGAAAACTTTTTCAAAGAATCAAAATGCATTACAATTCCTGCGAGAAGTTCAAAGTGGGACAATGAATATATGAAATGATAGCCAGAAACTTTATCTTTAATTTCATACCAAAAAATTACTTTATATGAAAAGCAACAGTTCAAAACAAGAGCTGAAACACAGCACTACACTAAGTGTACAGTGCACCGACCCCGCCGGCATGTGACAGAAACTGCTGGCGTGTGTGGCACCAAGCGCAGAACTGAAGGATTAAGGAGGATGTTCATGACTTCCCAGTTCGTGGTTGTTAATGTTGCCTCCATCAAATTTGCTTTATGTGATCAAGCCTTGTCATGCAGTAGGATGATTTTCTTCTACCTGTTCCATAGGTTTTCTCTTCCGAATGCATGGTGCACATCATTGTGAAGTAGGTCACTGTAGTATTGTGCATTGATTGTTACCCCATCAACATGAATCACTTTGCCTGAATTTCAAAACACACTTGCCATGATCTTGCCAACTTAAAACTGTTTCTTGAATTGTTTGTGTGGTGGAGGTCCCTTGCAACACCATACTATGCTGGACCACTTTGACTCTGGAGAGTGGTAGTGCACCCATCTCTTGGTACATGTCACTATTCAATCTAGAAATGTATTTCCCTCCAGTTCAAACCAGTGCAGATTTTGGTAGACACAGCAACATGCTGTGCCTTCTGGTCAATCATTAATGTCTTTGGAACCTACCAACCATTTACTTTCTGCAGCAGTAGGTGTTCATGGATACTTGTTTTAACGCTTCCATTTCTTATGCTACGATTGGATGCACTGTACTTTGCCTGTTCTCAAAATCAGCTTTTCATCATGGCAAATGTTCACATCGCTTACAGCTGTTGGCTGAACATGAGCATGCAGTAGGTCTAAAACTTCTTCATGGCCTTCAGAAAACTTACTGAGCCAGTTGTAGACATCTGCACATGACAGGATCTCTACCCTACAGAGAACATTCAACCCATGGAGAATTTCTGTTTGTTTCACTTTCTCTTGCGCCAGGAATTTTATGATGATGAACACGCTAGGAGTGACAAGGTTGGGTGCCATCTTGTACTAGCTCTAATGCCCAAAAGTGGGGAGCATGGCCACATGCCATGCAGTGAGTGCAGTGTTGCCACCAGCTATACTTGAAAGAGTTTAAGTTTCCTGGTACCCATGTATTTAGGATGAGCAGCCCCTCCCTGCTTTATCATTCGTTAGAAAAGGGATGACGCTGCTTGCATTCCTGGTTCACACATTGTGTTCTCAATACCTCCCTCCCCAAGGTAGAATGGGGTGTCCAAGCTGCAATCTTAAGCCAGAAAATCTCCAGACAACTAAATAACAAATATTGAATACAGCGAAATGAAATAATACAATACAATACAATCTAAATGCAAACTCTACTCACAATGCCCCAAAACTGACATCGTGTAGTTTGGGGATCCGTCGCTGTCAACGGCCAGTAGAAAATAAAAGACCAAAACAAACCTGAATTTTGAGAAAAAAAAAACAACAACAACAAAATCTGAAGACAGAATTTTACCCACCTGCCTTGTTGACGGCGAGCCACTCCCTCATAGAAAATTCTTGCGAGGAATACAGGCACACTTTGTTTGCAAAGGTCAGAACAGCTAAAAAAATATTGGGGCAATACAAAACCCCAGCAAATAAAGAAAAACACTCCAAGAAACCCCTAAATAGCGACACACTATGCAGCCATCTCAAAACCAAGGGGGACGCTAGCCCTCCACAGCCAGGAGAAACCAAACGGAATTTGGACTAACCAAAACTCAACAGAATTTCAGTACCTCCTTCACAGTCTGCTTGTAACTGTATGGGCTTTGCCCTCTTTTCCCTTGCTAGATTAAGCAAGCTAGAAACAGCTGGAGAGGAGGAAAATCATGCGATGGACTGGAATGGGACAACATTTATAGCAGGAGTTGCCCCCGCAGGCACACTGCAGCCACATATGGGGTAAAGTTGGCCGCAGCTACTCGCTGGTGAGAGGTTTAAGTCGGACGCAGCTGTTCGCTGTGAGGGGTTAAGGTGAACGCAGCTGCTCACTGTGAATCGCCTTTTAGTGATTCTGAGGAAGCAGTCGATGACGTAGCTTCACCTTTCGCTGTTTGATGACTCTGAGGAAGCAGTTGATGACGTAGATTCACCTTTCGCTGTTTAATGACTCTGATGTTCTGTGATATGATGTACTGGGCACCATTCAGTAGAGCACCTGAGACCTTCACAGGACTGTTACATGGGCCTTGGCTCCAACAAGGCGGTCAAACAAAACCCACAACAAACTTCACAACACTTAACACTTTATTTAGCATTGTCTGTCTAACACAAAGAAGTGGGCTTATCAAGCCAGTAGCTGCTTAGCATAACATCATCCAGCAACTGGCATTTCATATTGGCTGTACATTGGGAAGTACCCCTGTAAAGTCCCTAGCTATGTGCTCTCAGGGTTTACATCACGCATTACAAACACAAAGGGGAACCCCTGGACTATAAATTTACATATGAAATCATGCCACATTGCATCATCTGCTACTTAACCTATAGTCCATGGCATCTAATATTGCGTGATAATGTACACAATTCCCTCAAATTCATAATTTAAGTTTTGTAAATTACAATAGTTATATAAAAACATTTATGGATACATGAATAAGCCGAAGTATATTATTAAAAGGGAGTAATCGGTTACACATTCTAGAACCCTAGAACACTGAAGGAAGGGTAAAAGGAGGAGGGGAATAGGAAAAGGGGTTGCTGAAATGAGCCATGAGTAGTAAGCATGGCTCAAGGAAAAAGAATCAAATCCAGATTAACCTTGAATTACCCTTGTACTAACACAAGTTTATATTAGACTTAACAGAAAATAAAATTATATATGAAAGTAATACATGTGTTTGTGTAAGACATGTTGTTGAGGAACATATTTTCCTAGAATTTTATACTAGTATGCAAATGATAACTGTGGAATCCAAAGTCATTGAGAACATGCTACGCTAATGGGAAATCACAAAACCAGATTTTTGTGTTGTAAGATTTTCTTTTTTTGCAAGTATTGTACATATTATTACAATTTAGAATGAACCGTTTCTGTTGCTTTTGTTCTGTTCAGGTAGCACGCTTAGAAAGTCAAGTTATAAGATATAAATCTGCGTCAGAGACAGCAGAGAAGGTTGAAGATGAACTTAAAGTGGAGAAGAGAAAATTACAAAGAGAGGTGAGGTGTTTTTACTTGTATTTTCTTACATTATAGGTTCATTTTGTGTTACTATATGCTGTTATCCTTCAGTCTTTTTACCATTGGGTTACACTTTAGAGCTGTTGGATCACTGGGATGAATCACCTGTGTATTCCATGCTCAGTCTTGTAAGAGATAATAGTTGTGAACTAAACTAGATAAGAAATTCCCTGATAAGAAATTTAAAAAGTTCAGTTCAGGCGTTGAAGCCTATAAAATGTAATGTGAAAAACTCCCATGCATAGATTGTTCTGTGCCTTACAAGTTAATATTGTCACACACTTTATCAAAAATATTTCTCATGTAATATGTTTTAAGACATATTTACTATCCAATTTGACTATTTCATGCACAGAATATAAATTCTGGATATTCTTACATAACAGTTAAATTGATAGGTAAATAACCTTTGTGCAAGAACTGATAGTAGTCCGTGTTAGTTAATTGGCAGTTAAGTGCACAGTCTTGGTGCAAGAATCAATATTAATCTGTGTTAACTGACTAGTGATGAAGCACACAGTCGTGGTGTGAAACTGAGTAGTAGTCATATTGATTGTGGCCAATACGTTACTTTCCACCTGTTTCATTTGGCTTATTTTTTGTTCACTGTGTCTGAATGTATTAATTCAGGCATGCTATTTACCATATTAGATGTTTATATACAATAAATTGAACAAGAGTAAGAAAATGAGGTTATTCCAATTAAGAAGTTTTGTAGCTGGTCTGTTTAAAGCTTTTTTATGCTAGAAATAGTGTATTGCTGTTTCTTTACATCCTGTTACAAATTCTATATGTGGTTTTGCATTTGTCAGATACTGGAGAAAAAATGGGATTACAATGAGACAGTACATCATCTATTAACAGACCTCAGGAAAGTCTATGATTCAGTTATGGGAGACGAATTGTACAATATTTTTGTAGAGTTTGGGGTACCCATGAAACTAGTTAGTTTGATTAAAATGTGTTTAAATGGAACCTGTAGTAAAATCTATGGAAAGTCTATGATTCAGTTATGGGAGACGAATTGTACAATATTTTTGTAGAGTTTGGGGTACCCATGAAACTAGTTAGTTTGATTAAAATGTGTTTAAATGGAACCTATAGTAAAATCTATGGAAAGTCTATGATTCAGTTCTGGGAGACGAATTGTACAATATTTTTGTAGAGTTTGGGGTACCAATGAAACTAGTTAGTTTGATTAAAATGTGTTTAAATGGAACCTATAGTAAAATCTGTATAGGTGAATATTTGTCTGATAAGTTTCATGTCCGAAGTGGTCTAAAACGAGATGCTTTATTGCCACTGGTTTTCAGCTTCTTTCAGAATATGCCATTAGGAAGTTCCGTGAAAACCAGGTGGGACTGAAATTAAATGGGACACATTGTCTGATGGTCTATGCTGATGATGTGAATCTGCTGGGATATATAACGTAGATACCATAAAGAAAAACACTGAATCTGTAATTGATGTTGTATTGAAGTAAACACAGAGAAAACTAAGTATATGTTGCTGTCTCATCACAAGAATGCAGGGCAGAATCATGATATGAAGATAGTTGAAAGGTGTTTTGAAAATGTGGCACAGTTCAGGTACTTGGGAACAGCAATAATAAATCAAAATTCAATTCAGGAGGAAATTAAGAGGAAACCATTCAGTCCAGAACCTTTTGTTTTCTCGTCTTCTGTCTAAAAACGTAAAAATTAGAATATACAAAACAATGATTTTGCCAGTGGTTGTGTATGGGTGTGAAACTTGGTCTCTGTTATTAACACTTTGCGGACTGTGCCCCCTTTAAAAGGTTTTTAGCTTTTAAACATGGCGGACCGTTCGCGTGTTAACAGGTTTTTAAAACACGATAAGTTGCAACACACTATACATCTCTATGGCTCCACCTAGCTAGCCTGTAGCTGCTTGCAGCTGCGTTATAAGGCTCTGGAATGTCTGCTGACCAATCAGTTACTAGACCTTGCTGTAACTCTATGCCCCTGCAAAGGAAATAAATGTCTTTATTTATTCAAGCTTTACGTAGCAAGCTGTCAGTCAGTAGTTCAATATGGATCAAAGACCAAAGCGGTTGACACCCAAGCGATTTCTTGGAGAACAAGAAATATCTGACTTCTTTTCCGATGAGCTGTCTGACGTCCCTTGTGAGTCTGCTAGTGATAGCGACTCACAATCTGATAGTGAGTGTGGCAGGGGCGAACAACAAATTGTGACCACAGACAGTGAAAGTGAAAGTGACCGTAGCTCCAGTGAATGTGCGGGTAGCAACATTGCGGGGACAGCCACATGGGGAAAAGTAGACAAGATGCCTGCTTTGGGACAGTTTACTGGAAATCCAGGGGTGAAGCAAATTCCATCGGACCCAACGCAAGTGTCTGAAGTAGTGGAACTGTTTTTTGGAGACAGTTTCTTTGACATGCTATGTCAGGAAACTAACAGATACTATCTCCAACACCGTGAACGTTATAACAGAAGTTATAAGGCGTTGAAGTGGGTTGATGTCACTTCAGCAGAAATGAGAACATTTTTGCAATAATCTTTCTAATGGGCCATACAAGGAGGGATAATCTGAAAGAGTATTGGTCAACAGATCCATTTTTAGAAATTCCAATTTTCGACAAACTAATGAGCCATAAGAGATTTGAGCAAATTTGGTGGTGTTTGCATTTCAATGATAATGAACTGCAACCACAATCAACAAGCAGGCTTTTCAAAATTCAGCCCTTTTGAACATTTTCGTTCAGAAATTTCAGACAGTTTATAAGCCAAACCAACAACTGTCTTTGGACGAATCTGTGATTCCTTGGAGGGGAAGGCTTCGTATGCGAACATATAATCCTGGGAAACTTACAAAGTATGGCCTACTTGTTCGTGTAGTTACTGAAAGCACTTCAGGCTATATTGGAAATTTAGAAATTTATTCTGGTGAAGGAAAGAAATTACAAGAAACTATTCTTTCCATTTTGGAACCCTATCTTGATCAAAATTACCATGTCTATCAAGACAATTATTATAACAGTGTGGCAACTGCAGAACACCTATTTTCGAGAAAAGTACGTGTTTGTGGAACAATTAGGGTGAACAGAGGCCTTCCTCCAGATCTGAAAGAGGAATGTAAATCCCTGAAACGTGGTGAAACCACATTCAGGAGGAAGGGGGATATTCTTCTTCAGTCCTGGAGGAATACTCGTGTTGTGAATATGATTTCCACAATTCACAATTCGAGCATGGTTGATGTTCAATGGAGACATGGACAGGTAAAGAAGCCTGTTTGTATTTCCGAGTATAATATGTTCATGAAGGGAGTTGATAGAGCCCATCAGTACTTGGCCTATTATTCTCTTCTTTGGAAAACATTAAAGTGGACAAAGAAAGTTGCCTTGTGGCTTATAAATAGTGCCATTTTCAATTCATTTTAGGTTTTCAAAAATCTAAACCCTCATTCAAAATTGAAATACAAGGCATTTCTGCTGAATGTGGCAAAAGCCTGGGCTACAGACCACACGGTGGCGGCAGAACTGGCGGCAGACACAGTCTTAGTATGACTGGGGCCGTCTACTCCCACCCCACGCAGGCCTCATTTTGACCCCCTTGGGCGACTCTCGGGTGATATGCGGAAACATACCCTCGCGAAAATTGTGAAGAGTGAACATTTCAAGGGGAAGCAGCCTTGTAGGCAGTACTGTGTTTGCGCAATTCACAAGAAAATGAGTAGGACTGCCTACATTTGCACGTTTTGTGTAATGCCACTTCACAGAGGGGAATGTTTCGAGAAATATCACACCCTCAAGCACTTCTAGAAGCATTGGTAAGTGTTCTCAAAAAATTTTAGTTCATAAAATTAATTAGGAGATTTTATATTATTTTTTAAAGTGAACAGTGCACAAGTTAGGGTAGTAGGTATTTAAATGCCGGTCCGCAGGGTGATTCAAATATTTAAATTGCTGGTCCACAAAGTGTTAAGGGAGAAACATAGACTGAGGGTGTTTTTGGGAACGGTGTTGAGAATATTTGGACTGAAGAGAGATGAAGTGACAGGAGGTTGGAGAAAACTGCACAGTGAGGAGCTTCATAATGTGTTCTCTTTGCCAAATATAACTAAAATGATCAAGTCAGGGAGAATGAGATAGGCAGGGCATGTAGCATGCATGGGGAGGATTTTGGTGGGAAAGCCAGAAAGAATGAGAATACTAGAAAGACCAAGATATAGGTGGGTGGATAATATTAAAATTGACCTTAGCTGGATAGGTTGGTGATATGGACTGAATTGATTTGACTCAGGATAGGAGCCAGTGAAGGGCTGTTCTGAACACAGTAATGAACCTTCAGGTTCTATAAAATGTTGGAAAGTTCTTTAGTAGCTGCAAAGCCAGGGGCTTCTGAAGAAGGGCTCAGCTTCAAGAAGTTAGTTATTCTGTGTGTAGAAGGATCTGTTTATAGTGCTCTAGAATAATTGGGGGTGAGTCTCGATTAAAGATACAGTGGAACAAAGGACATTTACTGAAAACCTGGATTCATAGGTAGAATTCTCTGATAGAAACATATCTTTTCCTCGTTGTTGTTTCTTTATAATGGTCCATTTTATTTATTTTATCCCTGGTAAAATAAGCTACTGGTAGCTGAGAATTTTGTGGCACTGGTCATTCGGTGAATAAGAGGAAGGGAGACACGGAACAAAAGGTATAGGACCCTAGTGACAGATCAAATGAATGAACAGCCTATTTTTTTTATTGCTAGTGGGATGGGACTAAGTCCCTTGGACTGCGGCCACTTCTGGCCTATTGTACCAGTTCCAGATGATAGGTGAGGGTGATTGTGGAACAGTTGGTGGAATGAAGATTGGCAAGGGAAACCGAAGTACTCGGAGAAAACCTGCCCCAGCGCCACTTTGTCCACCACAAATCCCACTTGACCAGACCCGGGATCGAACCCGGGCTGCCGCAGTGGGAAGCTAGCGACTAACCGCTTGAGCTATG